TTTGTTGAATACCAACTAGGAGATAAAGTAATGTTGAAAATTCCAAAGCGATACTTGTTTGTAAAGGTGCATGGCCATCGCCTATTGCAAAAGAATATTGGACCCTTGTCCATTAAGAAGCGCAATGGGAAAGTTGCATACCGGCTGGATACCCCAGCCTGGTGGAAGATTCATCCAGTCTTCCATGTCAGCCTTCTGAAACCTTTTCGGGAAGACATGGAGGATCCTTCGCAGAGCCAACTCACAATACCCAGTATTTGAGGCCTTAATTCAACCGGAAAAAGGTGTGTAGAAGCTATTCTGGATGATCGAGTGATTCATGCTTCAAGGAAAGATCACCAAGAGTTGCTGGTGAAAATGGAAGGGATGTGATACAGAGGAGAATACTTGGGAGAGGGGAACAAACCTCAAAGCCTATAAGATCATGATCGATGATTATCTTGCAAGTAAGGCATCGAGGGTATCGCCAACTCAGGTGGGGGAGAATGTCAAGGGCGACTTTCCAGCACGTCCCATGGCGTCCTGGCAAACCTCCCAATGCCTAGCGCCATGGACGGCTCCGTGGTCTTGGCCGCGCCAAGTGAAAAGCTCGCATGTGCCTATGTCGACCCATCAATAGCCCTCGCCAGTGCCCAACCACAGGCAGATGCCAACATCACCGCGTGCACAGACTCTGATGCTAATGACAAGGTTGATGCCAATGGACCTGCGTCTATCTTGTAGGAATCTAGGTCCCTTTAATTTTTTTGAGCATTATTAGGGGAGAGCAAGTAGTCAAACTTTCAAGCAAGCAAATAATTCTATGTAATGGTGTCTCTCCCCCTCGACACTGTGTTGCCTTTTTGTAATAACTTTCATTAACGCAATCAAGCTTTCTTTCATTCTCATTATCTTTTCTATTCTCTCAATTGCTCTTGATATTGTTTTTCCCGTCCGGCACTGACAGACTCATCTAGCGTACAAATGGGACCCCAGTTGGCGGATAATAACCGCACAGACACAAATTACTTAGCCTTACATCGCCCTTCCAAGAAATCTCAGGAAGGCACCGCGTAACCTTACATATGCACTTTAATTTCTCCGTTACATGATCCCATTACTAAAAAGCAACACTATACTCTGATTCTCTAGAGGAAAATATTTGAAACAAGCAAATCACTCCCATATTTACCTGTGATTGGTGCGAGAAGATTTATTGATGTATTAGTTTTCTTTTACTTAAAAATGTTCTTAATAGCATCCTCTAGCTAGCTCATGTATTCCTGAAATGGACTATCCACATGCTAAGGGAGATTAATACATATTCTTTTTGGAATGGATGTTTGGTTCAAAATTTTGATGTAGTAATCAAGCATTTTGAAGAAGGTAAAACCATTATATTGTATGAAAAATTTTCTGTCTGAAATGCATTTCGTTTGGATCTCGGAATACACAAGTTCACTTGGAGATATCTTCTTTTTTTTAAGAGATGTTGATGTTGATGTTGAGTTTTAGGATTTGTTAATTATCATTACCCGTTGTTTTTTTTAAAGGAAAGTCAAAACTTCTATGTTTAGCAGTTCATGAAATATGCGCCCGCTTTGTTTTTCAAAAAAGGCATATGAAAAAACAAAATGCTGGATGTATTGGGAAAAAACTGAGTCTGAATATTGAAGATGACGTGTCATGACACGTGGACTGGTCAAAAGGTCAAAACGCAATAAATAGCCAAGAGGCACGGGCGATAACAGATAGGGGGAAAAGAAAGCAATAAATAGATTTTTAAATAGCAATAAATAGCCAAGAGGNGGCTCAGGAAGTTCTTTACCTTTAGAGGAAGATTTCTTAGTGATAGAACCTCTGAAAATAGTACAGGAGCTAGAAGAAGGCATGACAGAACCAGAGGCACCACCGCGAACGGATCCTAGGCTACGAAGCCTGCCACCTCTTCCTCTTCTATGTCTTACAGGGGCATTGGGAAGCTATCAAGAATTGAGATTCTTTTAGGGTTAGGATTCGGAGATGCCATTGCAGAGAAAATGATGAACTCAAGGAGAAAGGAGTAGAAATAAAGAGTAAAGGATCTGTTAAGGGTTTATGAAGAAAAGGACAAAGGGAAAAAGGATATATATGTATATAATAGCAACCGTCAAGCAAAGAAGTGTAATGATGGAAAACCTATAATAAAGGCAACTATCGCTTCGTGAATATAAGGGATGAATAAACCTTGGAAAAAAGGCTGCAGAATTACAAAATCAATCGGAAGGTGACACGTGTGTAGAGCATTAAATAGAAAAGACAACTGGGGCGTCAGTACTGTCATAACATTGATTACAGCAAAAAAAATCCCTTTTTGTGAAGGTCCACTTCCCAAATATTTAATGGATAAATAAATGGAAAGTGGGGGGACTATCTGTATTAGGAAAAAACTGAGTTTGAATATTGAAGATGACGTGTCATGACACGTGGACTGGTCAAAAGGTCAAAACGCAATAAATAGCCAAGAGGCACGGGCGATAACAGATAGGGGGAAAAGAAAGCAACATAGGTGTGGACCGTTACTAAAATAGGTACGAGTCTCGTACCTATTCGAGTCGTTTAAAGATCAAAGATCAGAAGAAGTTGAAGATACGAATCTGATGATGTAAAAGAGTTTAAATACAACATTAAATGTCAAATACGTTAGAGAATCTAAATTAAATAGAAATGATTGCGTAACATTTCTTTTAAATATCATTTATTGCTCATAATTGCCTCATTAAGACAAAGGCATTATATTTTCTCCTAGAATCAACTATAAAAGGGGAAAGACTCAGCATCTATAAGGATACGAAATACGATTGAGATCTTACTGAAATACAAATCTATTTACTGCTTTACCATCATTCTCAAAAATATTTTATTTTCGTCTCCTGATTATCAGTAACCCGAATTTCTTTCTAGCTTTGACCAAAGTCTCAGATTTTTGGTTAAACACTGGAAGCAAGGCAACCCAGGCCTTTCAGATGATTATGAACACCCTTTGTCGCTGCGCCGTAAAAATTACACGGGGCATCCTATTTGGTCGCGCCTCATTTAACCTATACTCATTTTTTAAAAAAGTTCTAACTTGTACCCACTTTTTAAACAACTTCAGCCCCCTTTCTCCTCCTACTTCTCTTCCTCAAACAAATCTTGTATATTCTAATTATAGAACCGCATTTAAGTCTGTTGTGAACAAGGAGTAGAATAAAAGCATCACGGATCAAATTCATTACTGGCTAAATTAAGTAAAGTGGTATCTTTATTTATTTTTAATTTTATCCACAAATATATAAGCGAGAAGAAACACCATTAAACATACAAATGGGATACCCAATAACTGATCAGTTGTCACCTTTATCCTTTATCTTCATCTTCTTCTTCATTTGTATGCTCTTTATCAGCACTGAGTCAACTCAGCCACCATTTTCATGTGACTCGTCAAACCCAGTTACCAGTTCATTGCCCTTCTATAACGCCACCTTACCCATCCCCCAAAGGGTAAATGACCTCGTGTCACGCCTTAAGTTGGAGGAGAAAATATTACAGCTGGTTAATTTGTGATGCTATTCAACTTTGAATTGTTTTCCTTCTCTAGAGCTCTAAAGTTCGCCAGTTCCAAACAAAAACTTTGCCAGTTAAAAAATAAAAATCAGTTACAAAACAAAACTTCAGCTCTAGAGCTAAAGTTCGCCAGTTACAAAAATAAAAACTTCAGCTCTAGAGCTGAAATTCGCCAGTTACAAAATAAAAACTGAAGTTTGCCAGTTACAAAAATAAAAACTTCAGCAATTACAAACAAAAACTTTAGCAAATAGAGAACAAAACTCCAGCTACTATGCTTAAGTTCAGCAATTACAAACAAAAATTTTAGCACGCTTGGTTCAGCACACTTGCTACTTCAGTTCCGTCTACTAGAATGCTGAAGTTTTGCATGATTGCCTTTGTTACTTCAGCCCCGTATGCTGAAGTTACACGAAAAAGTGGGTACACTTGCAATTTTTTTTTTGCAAAGCGGTCACAAGTTAAAACGTGACCAAAAAAGCGAGTATAGATGCAAATGAGCAGTCTCAGCTTTGTCAAGTCAAATAGCATGGATTAGCCAGTTTTCAGACTCGTAATTGAAAAATAGCCTATATTTATAAAGTCATTAAAATAATTACTATTTTATGCAGAGATAAAATTTGGACAAAAATATCTTAACTGAAACACGGAAAGTTCCAACATAATATGCTGGAGTATGAAGCTCCTGCATATAAACTTCCAATACATTATGTTGGACTCCAACACATTATGCTGGAATCTCATATGTATAAATTCAAACATATGCTGATTTTTTTGAATATTTAAGGCTGATTTTTGTTTAAATTTATTTTTATATAAAAAATGAATAAATTTCAATTACTTTTTAATCTATAGCCAATTTTTAATTAGTAGTGGTAAATCAGGCTATGTTTTTGTTTTTCCGCTATGTCAAGGGTGTTCAAAGCCCAGGGTTGTCTGAAAATTGATAACATAACTCATCAAGAGCTCTTAATATTGAATTTAGATGACTCCGAAAGAAGAAAAGTTAAATAACCACATTCATAAAGGTGATCTCAACACTTTGTTCTAATCAACTGATCTTCTAACTTAGGAAACTGGAGAAATTATCTGTAGAAGTTATTAAACTCAAAAAGGTACGCAATTTTCACATTAGTTCATGATTTCAAAATAAACTGAATTAAGCAAACCCTAGCACTCTATTTTCTTCTTATTATTTTTATCCCGTAACGTAACACACTCGAATCAAGATATTGACATGTTTAGTGAAGGCATTAATTAAATCAAATAAATAAATAAATAAATTACCAGCTACTTGCAATTTGAACCCCTCATTTTGTTTCATATAAAATATCAAGTCTCCTTTTCTTTAAGATACTTTTCTCCTGAGGTGCAGCCAAAAATAGAAAAATAAAAGTGAAAAAGTAACCAACCAATACTTTTCGGGGACTACTAGCTTAAAATAAAACCATATCCTGGCATATTAATCAGAAAATGTTGGAAGAAACATATCATATTTCATTTCCATCTAGTATTTGGAACTTGATTGTTCAAAGGATTGATCTGACATGATATGCAAAGTTAACAAAGCTTCTTTCTGTTCTTACCGAGTTCCACAAGCATAGTTAACAAAGCTTCACACATTTCACTAGCATCCGGTTCATTTGGGTCCTTTTTCCATGATGAATATACCATCCAAGCATGATCAAGCTTCATGTCTGGTTTTACCACCACTGAACCAGGCACTTCAGCATCACGACAGGTCACTAAACCGTCACTCTTCTCTCCATACCTTAATTGCAGGTGGAGTGCACAAAGAGCGAGTCCAGCAGAAACAGGAACTATAACAGGCACCTTGCAGCCTGCTTGGATGACATCGGCTGAGTCATTGTCACCAAATCCAGGCAAAGGTAGCCAAGGAAGTTCAGCATGTGCAATATGGGACATTGTTGCTATTACGTTCAGTGCTATACTGGCTTCAGAATGGAAGGAGATGACAGGAATATCGTCAGGAAGCTTGTGGTTTTTTATGAACTCCTGTCGCTTCTCATACGTGAGATCCTCTAATGCCCCTATGTCACCCTAATAAAGAATGAACAAACTATCAAGCATATTTGGGGAGCTACATACCAAGGCATGTTAAAAATTATTGAGTATATACTTATTATGCCACATAAACTTCCATGTATAGAACAAACAAAACAACACTTGTGAAAGAGAAACGTGAAACAGGTATGCAATGGTTAAATGTAGAATAGTCATTAGACCGTTGACATCAAGAAAAGAGAATACTGAAATCCATTTAAAACCACGACAATATTCACACCTTTGGCAAAAATTGTTTAATCGTGGCACTATTGAAAAGCCTTCCCACAAATGCTTTTTAAAATGTATAATGCATCCGGCATTGATAGAATATTTGGGGTTGGGGATGAGGAATTTAAATGTCACCAGAGGTACATATTAAGTTTCTTAATAACCAAGTATTTTTGACTAATAATTAATTATCACTTCCATTTCCTTATATTCTAGTCGTTCACTGTACAAACCAGCATAACCATGGGAAGTAATGAACTTGAATTGTTACAGGTTGTATATAATAGAGATGTAGGATCCAGCATAAAATAGGGCAGCTCAGTGCACTAAGATCCCGTTGTGTGCGAGGTCGGGAGAAGTGCCGGACTACAAGGGTCAATTGTACGTAGCTTCACCCTGCATTTCTGCAAGAGGCGGTTTCCACGGCTCGAACCCGTGACCTCATGGTCACATGACAGCAACTTTACCAGTTACGCCAAGGCTCCTCTTCAAATCTAGCATCCAGCATGATCAGTTAATTTGTGAATAAAGCATGTATAGGTATCATTTATTATCTAAACAGGGATGATGCTTATTTTCAGCTTTTAATGTTATCAAGAACTAAGACAAAACTGTTGGTTTTGAAAATTTTTATAAGTATGCATTAAAAGACAATTATAAGACAATATCACGGCAATTACTCCAAAATGTAAGGTATAGACTAAGAGCATCAATGTTTGGGAAATTGAAAGCGATCATCCTGCTACAGGAAGCCCTTTAACTGGCTCTGGATTCCAACATGCAAAAGAGTTGGGCATTTCAGTTAAGAATTTTTTTAACTAAACCAAAATAGTCGTGAGACAAGGCATTACCTTAATTAGCTCGCATATTAAAAATTCCATGATCCTTCGCGTTTCCTTGTCAGCAATCTGGCCTTCACGAAGAATATCTGATGCAACAGGCGTCCCACCATAAGGGCTCTGCACAAATGCCAGCCCTGCAACTTTATCCTTTAATTCAGGCCAATATTTTGACAAAGCAGCGGAGGCGTCGACCCCACCCTTACTGTGACCAAGCAGCATCACACGTTTGCCAGACCCCCAGTGTAACTCCTCGATGTATTGCTTCAATTCCCATGCATTTTGTTCCACGGATGCCTTCATTTAGTAATAAATGATCCAACAGTAACAGAGAATCATAGTTTGAAGAAGATTAAAAGAACTTCCTGAGAGAAAATTCACTATACTAACAGATGAGATTTCTTTTATCTATGAGTTATGACTAGTAGATACCTCACTATGAATCTTAGCAATATGGCAAGTTAGTCCCATCTTTGAAAAGAACTTCTTAGTGCTCACAAAATATAAGGGACCGTGATTGCTAAAAAACCCTGTACAATGATGTTACGGATAAAAAAAAATCTTAAGAGAATGAAATCTGAGACACGTTTAGAATCTGATTATGGTAGTACTAAGCGGGAGATTTATCAAACCTGGAATTAGTAGATAAACAAAAGAATCCGGTAGTGTGTGCTGTCCATTCCTACAGAAAAGGACGACGAAAGGAAAAATAAGAGTGTGGTTAATTGGCAGGTCGGCATTTGCAATGAAAGATTCGAATTGATTTAAAGACTGAAATAGGCTGTCATCTGAACAATACTCACAAAATCATAAGAATTTCATTCATAGCTAGAGAAGATCCAGCTAACACAGTTGTATGATGCCTATAGGACTCCAAAATTATGTGGACTAAAGACACTCAAAAGAAGTGAAGATAATCTCCTTATGTTTTCACGTGTCCTTCAGCAAACTTGCTGAAGAAGCAAACAGTTAGATGATATCTCCAAATGCAATGACTTTGATCCCTCAGCTATATTAATCAAAATATGAATCTTTCAGTTTATTTATGAAGGGAAATATCAGAGAGAGAAAAATGACTCTCAAGTCTCAATCTTAGCAACTCGTATTTATAAAAAACGAATGTAATACCCACAAGTACTGACAGACCAAATTGAAAATGCAAAATAAAATGGCTATACTGGTCCCTCCTTTATTTGTAATTAGCAAAGAGAATCCTTCAGGAAAGGCAAAAGCTAAGAGCTATAAGATAATACGACTCAGTGTTAAGACTTGAAACAAGATGATCTTTCATTACTTGTCATATTTGCATGAAGAAGTCATAATCAAACAAGCTGTCAACAACATCAAATAAAACAGCAATAATTTGTATTGCTGAATTTTAGCCTTTTAAATTAATGATGTGCTATATCCAATCTAATAAATTGAAAATCAGTAAAACGACAAGCATACAATGTTGTTTGGTAGATTTCATTTAAGTTGGTAGGACTATCACTTTGAGGAAGTTATGATCATGACTATCACCTTAAGGAAGCTACAGATCACTTCTTTCATCATTACACAGAGTAGCAAAAAATTTAGAGGAATCTACACATTTAGAGCAATAGCACCAGTCGCAGGGTTCTAAGTTGGGCCAATGAAACTACAAGCAGCTCAGTGCAATGAAACATGGCAACAGTTTTCGGAAAAATCTCATCAGCTGAACGTAGAACCATTTCGTGATGATTTAAGTGTGTTCAATTGGCTTAGTATCATATTGAAGTTATTCAGCACCTATGCCAATCGATAAAAGAGAAACATGACCAAGAACTCACCCCTATATGTTCTCTTTATTCTGATAAAATACAATTTTCAAAGATAAAAACATCTGTCTTTTTTTCCTATATTCCAAAGTGACTAGGAAGATCCAACATTTTACCTAATATCTTGTAGTAGTTCTCTAAATCTAGCTGAGCCATCAACTACAGGAGCCATTTCAGGAGCTCGTTGCATCCACCCAATGTCATCAGAAGATCCATGCAAGGTTTTACGGACACGAGATATAACACTGGAGAGATAAATGAAGAGTAAGTAAAAGAAACAAAACAGTATGCTGCTAAAAGATTGAACGTCAAACGGAAGAAATTATCTAAAATACTTATCAAGCTTTAAATATGTATCATTTATACCAACAGTGAGAGAGTGATTACTAACCTCTGAACTCGAACTAGAGCACATCGGATATGAGATATAAAACATCTCCAAGAGGCCACCATAAGTTTCCAAGCAAATCTTAGACCATATACTGGAAGCATCAACCTACAACCAGATCAACCAACTGCAGAATAAATTAGGACAGTCATGGCTATGTAATGGTGGAAATAGATATGTTTTAATAAATAAATAAAAAAAAACATGATAAGATGATTTCTTAAGTTGGAGTTCTAATTCTGGTTCTAAAAATCAAGGAATCCATAGAGACCCTGCATAATGACCTTGAAGAGGATGAGAAAAGGCACACATATGAAAAGATTACCCTTCAAAAATGAGGCTGAAACCTCCATAACTTTGATTACTTCTCACAATCTCTAATCTTGAATTTACAGGTAAGCTATCATTGAGATTGGAGGCGCTTCTTTCACGAATTATAAGGCTTGTTCCTTGGTTGGACACTCTTGAAGAAAATGAGGAAGCTTCATGAACAGATCTGTAACCCCTGTTACTGGTGAAGGTTACATGCTGACCACCAAAGCCAACTAAATTTTCCGACCACCCAAGGATATCTATGCAGATAAGATCTTCTGCAATAGAATCACATGAACAGAAACCTTTATCACATCGGAAGCCGTAAACATAGAAAATAAAACAATAGATGTTCAGGGGTTGTATAATTTTGTGCATGAATAAGATAAATTCTTTCGAGAACTTACCAATAAATTGAACAAATTGCTGGGCTATATAAGAGCTCAAACTTGCAAGATGTAAAAACGGGTCCTCCATGTTTCATCAGAAGAAAAATTTATCAAGATCATTTCATTTGAGATATCATGAGCAACCCCAGAAAAAACCTGCAATGGACCAACAAATGGATTCATAAATCAGATCAGGCAATTCAAGCACCGTAAAAATATATGGAGCTTACAAAACATGTTGTCGCACTAAACAGCATAAAGCCGCAATTCTGATAAAACGATAAGAACAGTGATGTAAGTCAAAGGTGAAATTTAGTAATGAGTAAAATGCACTTCACACTTACTGGTCAGGGAACACCAAGGATTTCTCCATAGAAATACTAATCACCCATATTACATTCAACCCAAAGAGAACAAACTATGTCAACTTCATTTAAAAATAACAACAGAAACAAATTCAACTAATCTGAGGGAAGATAGGTTCATTTCAATGCAAGAGTAGTTGTGAATACAACACGGGGTTTCCTAAATACTGGATGAAAACTGAGAGAAGGAAGGCCTCAATAAAACTCAACATTCAATCAGTGCAACAACAACAACAACAACAACAACAATAATCTAGTGGGGTCTGGGGAGGGTAGTGTGTACGCAGACCTTACCCCTAACCTGGGGTAGAGAGGCTGTTCCCGATAGACCTTCGGCTTCCTCCCTCCAAAAACTCTCCACCTTGCTCTTGGGGTGACTCGAACTCACAACCTCTTGGTTGGAAGTGGAGGGTGCTCACCACTAGAGCAACCCAACTTTCAATCAGTGCAAAGAACTAAAATTTATCAACAAAAATAAGAAAGGAAAGGCCACCAGTGTTTTAATTTCTACAAGGCAACCAGACCTCCTAAGCTCCTACTGGAAAGTATAGTAACTGCTAAAATCTAGATTTTTCCCTAGCTTTTAAGAGAATGATAGCACCCAATCTTGCAAATTTTCAATCCCTTCGAACAGAATAGTCCTTTGAAACCAAACACACACACACACATGAAATCTTCCAGCAGCAAAATAATCTGATAGAGATACTCAAATCACTTGAAATGTTATCCATATCCAGTTGGATTTTCAGTAATTACAAGAATGGTACTAACAGAGAGATCTTCCTAGAGCAACAAAAGCAAATGCTTCCTAAATCCCCCAACAAAACAAAGTGAAAACAGGACAGGATCAGTAGAATTGAAATGCATGCAATTAAATTTCAATGTAAGCTGTTAAAGAGAACAATACCCACAAAGAAGAGACAAACTTACAGTGGGATGTGAGAATTAAAGCCCCACATTCAAAGAGAAACTTGCAGTCCACAAAACCCAAGAACAGCCTATTCTTTAGGAGCATGACAACCCCATAAATATAGCCAAAGCAAAATGGCAAAATCTACATCTATCCCAATTACCAATAAAGCACAATTTTACCAAAAACTATAAAATAATACTCACGATCTGCTTGAGAAAAAAAAAGAATAAAGAAAAACTAACCGAATAAAATAGGAGGCCATTGATTGGAACTGGAATGGAGCTATTAATACTGATGTGGACGAACCAAGCTATCTTTATCCACAAGCTGCAACATAATGGCCCACTTGGTGTCACTTTCGGGACCAAGAATCTTAACTTAAACAAATGGTTTTCTTCAAAGTTCAAAAAAGCCCTCCAATTGAGGGGGTCCAATTTTTGAAAAGAGCAAATGGAGTTTTAATTTTTAACCGACCTTGTTAACTGTAAAAAACTGAAAAAAGGTGAAAAGCAGTGATAGTGTTCTGTTAATTCGGGACAGCGTGAGGATCTAAAGGCACACGTGTTGATAAGTGGATTGAGTGTTGAGGCAGTCAGCAGGGAGGTAAATGGGACCCATTTAAATCGGTCAGCTTTGATTGCTTTGCGAGAGAGGAAAGTACACATGGATTCTTGATTTCATTGAGAAATTTTATAATGTGTGAGACTTGCCACGTCATACTTGAGTGAGGCCCTTATCGTTTGACATATGGAGCCATGACCCCACCCTTCATCATCACTTCTCCGTCACAATTCACCTACTCTTACTTTCCGGTCATTCTTTATTTTTTTTTTCTAATTCATTCTCCTCCACGCGGACTTCACCCCCTATATATCCTCTTCTCTTGTTATAAATTCTATAATTATTTTTTTACAAATCCATTCGGTTAGTTCTTCTTTCCCACTGAGCTTTGCACCCAAAAAAGAGGTTTGAATTTATGAAGAAAGAAGCTCTCACAAAATTAAAGTTAATTACCTTAATCAATGAGCAAATGCCAAAAAAGCTCAATTCGAAGAATAAACGGATGAGAAAGACATTTGAATAGTGAAATTGCTTTTACCCGTATTTTTAGTCTCAACCCTTGCATTCAAAAGGGATAGAGAAATTCATGAAGAAGGGGCAGATGGCTGTAATTCTACTTTCTGAAGAAAGAGAGTAATCTTGACTATTTTGCTTATAATTTGAAGAAAGATGCCTAAACAATATTTTCGTCAAAATTTATAAAAGCTGCACAGCCATAGATGTACACATGCCAAAAATGAGTAAAAGAGAAAAAGAAAATTGCTTGAGATCTGCACTTGTTCCAAGTGTGTGTGAAGTTAGGAAAAAAATGTTAATTTAATTTTCATCAATTTACCAAACAATTTTGGTATAGTTGAAAATAATCAATTGTTTATGACGAGGCAGGGGCGGCCCGACCAATTTCGTGGCCTAAAGCCAAACTTTATGAGAGCCTTAACTTTTTTATTAATAAAAAATATTTTATTTTTATTTGAAGTCTATTTTTCTAACATTTTTTTTTAGATGCAAAGCTATTTTTTTTTTATAATCAATTTCTCCTAATAAGTCTTTCTCAATTGACAGTATAACTAATTCATTTTATATCTTTGAGACATTGTTGATCTTAGATAAGATTTTATCAATTTTAATTTTGACATACTTTTTTTCGGTGGAGCAACGGTAATAGGAATTATTAACATTATTCTATAAGTAATATAACCATTTGGAAAATAATCAAATCTTTTTATTTGATTGAGTATATCAATCAAATTGTTATCTTCTAATTCTACTATTTTTCTTAATATTTTTAATTCAGAAAATAAATCTAAACTATCAATATTAGGTTGATTATTGTGCTTTAAGGAGCATTCATGATGAAGACAATATTTTTTTAAATTTCCATCATCTAGTGATCTCAGTTTTTACTGCTAAATAAAAAACCAAAAATATTTTCATATACCTCTAATTGTTCAAATTTATTTTAAAGTGAAAAAAATAACCTTGTCTGCTACTCTCTATGGTCCATAATAAGTGACTTTTTTGGTTATTATTTTGGTCCAAAATAAGTGTCATTTTATATAATCGAGAAGGAATTAACTTTATTATTCCAAAAGTTGCCCTTATTTACATATCTCAATGTGTCAAGTTAACAACATATAAATTTTAATTAAGGATAATTCAGTCAAAATACATTTTTGTTTTAGGAGTCATTATTTTCTTAAGGGGCACAACAAAGGTTAAAAAGTCATTTATTATGAGCCAGAGGGGGTATGTATAAAAAGTAATCAACTCTAAAGGACTCTTCGAGAGATTTTGAGATTTCACTATTAACATTCTCCTCAAATTGTTTCTTTCTATATATTACACGTTTCTTATGAAATTCGGGTTCGATATTAATTTCAAATGCAATTTCCTTGATAGAAATTAAAGCAGTTGCAAATCCTTCATCTCTTTATTTGTTAAATAAAGAAATTAAACTTTTTTACTTCACATAACTTTTTTAATATATATATATATATATATATAATCTATTAGGTATAAAAAAAATAGGGCTTCTATAAATGTGGGGCCTAAAGGCCGCCCCTGTGCTGAGAAGCAGCGGAGAAGAATAAAGAAAATTGAGAAGATGAATCCGGGAGTGAGAATGTAGGTCAAGAATGAGGGAGAGAATGATGATGAAGGGTGGGTTCCATAGCTCCATGTGTCAAACGATAAATAGCCTCACTCAAGTATGATGTGGCAAGTCTCACACATTGTAAAATTTCTCGATTTCATTGGTCTCTTGCTGACAAATACAAATTTAAAGCTCTCCCTGAATTTTGAGCGGTTCTACCAACTTACTTTCGTGAGAGGGATTTAATTGACTTTTTGAGGGTTTGACATCACATTGGAAAAGAGTGAACGGATCGTGGAGGAAAATGCTAATTGAAAATTTTATAAAATTTTCCTTGCAAGTTGCATCAACCAAGGAGAAGGGAAAATGATAAAAGTAAGACAAGATGTATTTTGTTATGAATAGTTTATAGACATGGATGTTGTGAGCATGTGATTTTTGTCCTCTATGAGATACTCCTATAAAATCAAAGAAAATAGATTTTTTCTAATTATTTGCTATTTTTATGGGATTTTTGTAGGATTTTTCGTTAATTGTTTGCATTTCAGTGCATGTTTACTTTTATTAAAATCATGAAAAATACCAAAAAATATCATGCATTGCATTTAGATTTTGTGTTCACATTTTAGGATTAATTGGTTAATTAATTGCTTTATTAAAATAAAAATCACAAAAAATACCATTCATTTTACATTTTTAGTTTTTAATGCTAGATTAGTAATTTCCTCTTCATTATTTAGGATTAACTAATTTTTGTAAATATTAAAATTAGATAATTGTTTAATTTTGTAAATTAGATTAATTTAGGATTTAATTAGGATTTTAGTTAATTAAAGAAGAAGAAAAAGAAAACAAAGAGAAAAAGAAAAATGGAAAAGATTTTATTGTAGCATTGGGTCAAATTTCAATTAGCCCAAATACAATTCCCAATTCCGCCCAGGCCCAAAAGCTAGTCAACCCGGTCCAATTCCCCCAACTAAACCAAACGATGCCGTTTGGTAGCGCTCAATCTCAGCCTTTGATCTTTGTTGATCGGATGGCTGGGAACTAACCTTTCCCCTCTCTTATAACTGTCCGAAGAACCCCCTATCCCCCAAAAAACCCCTCGCTTCGTCTCTCTAAAAAATTCCCATACACTCTCTGAAACTCCGCCCTAAACCGCCGCCGGGAATCGCCTCAAGGCGGCGAAACTTCTCCAAATGAACCCAAATTTTCACCAGTTAACCCCCGCTGCCTCCTCTATCCAAATCCCCAAATCAATTCCCTCGAATTACTCTCAAAAGCCTCGAATTTCAAATCTGAGTTTCAACCTAGAAACCCTAGTTTACCCAAATCACCCCAAAATCATACCCCATAGTCCTCACACCCCTCTGAACCCTAAACCACAACCAATTCCCCAAAAACCCTAGCCAATTTCTTCGAATTTCCAATCTGAGCTCTTGTGCCCTTCTTCTTTTAGTCAGAGTTATGGCATTTGAACCCCAAACTTTCATTAGCCGACTGTTCTTGTTGAGAACAGTAATGTCAGTTCAATGTTCATATTACCCATTTGCTTCAAAGTTTGGTCAAGACTTGTTTTGTTTGGCTTTGTTTGGTCCGTATGGAAACAAGTTTGGTAACTCTTTTTGCCTATCTTTTCTCTTTTCCTTCTCTGAGAATCCCTTTTCATTTCCTTTCTTTTATGTTTAGTAGCATGTTTTAGGTTTTTTTTTCTTTTCAGAATCTTCTGTTTGTTTTTCTTTGCATCCAGTAATTAGTTTAGTCAAAAGCATATGAAAATTTCATTGTATAAGGATTGTTTGTAATTGCATAAATTTAGTTTAATCCTTAGGGTCGATACATGAAATGAGCTTGCCTGTTTCTCCATTTTTTCCTCTTGGGTTCAGTATTGGTTTAGGAGCATTTTTAGCCTATCTTTGCAGCCCTATGTTAATTTCGTTTGATTACTGATACATTAATCATTGAACTTTAAGCTTTGTTTAGGTTTAATTTAGATAAACTTTTTGTCTATCAATTAGGTTAATTTTAATTTAAATTGCATCAGCTCTCTTACCTTTATTTCTGTTAACATCTTTTGCATCTTTTGATTTGTTTTGATTGTGTTTGACCTGATTTGAAAATCAATAGAAATCTTAGGGACCTAATTGAACTAAAAGAATTTAGGTTAAAGATGAAATATGCAGTAACTTAAAGGGTAAAATTGGACTTTCACTTAGGCTAAAATCAGAAGGTTCTAGTATTTAGGACAACTGTCCCTATCCTTAGCAAAATGCTAATATTGGATAAGAAAAAAGGACATACAGCTGTCAAAAGATGTTGTACTATCCTAAAAATTCAAAATATTAGGTTAGAATATGTCTTTTTGATGCTCTTTTGGTACACTCTATAAGAAGAAAATATTCCTTCACTCATATACAGACATTCGCCATTATTTGCCTGCATAAAGGCTTTGAAAAACACATCAAATTTTTAGAAACCTAAAGAGCACAAAAATTTTTTAGCTATTGTTTCATTGAAAGCTGATCGATTTCCTTGCTGATTTCGACAAAAGTTAGAACAAGTTTTGCTCTGAAATTTCTGGATTCTTAAGTTGCAAGATGGCTTGAGTTTGAATGCTGTGATATTGCTGGTTTTTGGCTGTTTAGTTTTATTGATTTTTGCTCTGTTTTTGCTGCTTTTTCTCCTTGAAGATTCACAACCTTGTTCTTATTCTTTGTAACTAGGTATATCTTGAGCTTTGAAACATGAATAAAAGTTTGTTTTGAAGAGTGTCTTGCTGCCATGAAGCCTTGGAGTTCATATTTACACATTTTGTTTCTTCTTGATGTTTTACCTTTAAGTCATTTGAATACTGCTCTTTTGGCTTTTCTTATTAGCTTATGTGTAGTTACCTTAAAGTCTTGTAGTGAGGATTCATAAAATAACTAGGATATTTAGTGTTGATAGGGTGTGAACAACACCTCTTGCATATGCTGAGTTTAGGTTGAGTAGTCCAGTTCTAAAAGAAAAAATGTTTACTTTCAGTATTTTGCTACCTCCATGTGATTCTGTCCAATATTTTTACTGATTGTTAATAGGTGAGCTTTCCATAAGTGTTGGGTATGGTCAAAACTAGGCTATGATTGATGTGTAAGTACTTTTGGATGAAGTGTTCAGCATTACTACAAATGTGTAAAATGATTATATGCTTTTGCTGCTTCATGTTGAAAAAATGTTATAGATAGCGCAACTTAGAACTTATAACATACAAATAAGGTGTTCAAATTCTATAGTAAAGTTCATGTAAATAACTATCTTCTATTTCGAGTAAAGTATCTCTGTTCTTTGATGGTTTATTCTTGAGTTATCTCTCTGTACGAAAAACTTTGTAATACTAAACACCCTCGTGTATGTGGAAGCCTTGGACATAACAGGGCTAAAAGTCAATATTTCATTTTTTAGGCTTGGTCTCAAGTTAGCCATCTTAGAGGTTCGTCGTTAAAAAGGACTTTCTGGCCTATATGGTAGGCCATTTGTGCTGTCATTTTGGGCTTCAGTCTACGCCCACATCATGCTAATCTAGGGCAAGCCCAGTTTTTTTTAAAAGAGGAATTATATTGAATTGGTCGAAATGTTTTACATCATATAAAGATTTACATGTCCACTCAAAAAATGGTTTCTATATTTATTATCTTTAGAAGTCTACTTTCAATGGGGAAAAAGTAGTAGATCACCTAAAGCTTCGTTTCATACCAATGGACAGTGATATTAATATGGTCTTTTCTTTAAGTTCGTAACCTTTTTTCTTCCTTTAATAGTACAAGTTTTCACACGTAATCTCAATTTTAGGCATTCAAATACTCCTTAAATTCGTAGAAGCTTTAGGAGTGTGGTTTAATTTATTATCGTGATTGTGTACACGTTCACGTGACATGATTATGATCCTAATAACAAATTCGAGGTGTGCTATACACAACAAAAATCCATAAGCTATGGCTCTCACATTAGTATTACTTAGATATTTAACAATCCTAAATAATCATAGTTTGCTTTAGGCTCGATTTAGACTAGTATTGTGATTATGTATACGTTTGCGTAACATAATTACAAATTTAATTCTAAAAATAACTCGAGGTATGCGTTCGCGCAACTTCAACCAAACTTTTCTTAATAAAATAAGCAAAGCGTTATTAATTGTGGACACGTTCGCGTGACATAATTTTTGATGCGCCAAAGGAAAAGAGTATACGTACGCGTAACTCAATTCTTTAATTACGAATAAATCAAGTGATTAAAAGCAGTAAAAGGTAAATACACATAGGTTCTAAAAAATAAGTAATTAGACAACTTAAGCCAAGTATAAATTGCTAAGTGACCATGCTAGAACCACGGAATCCGAGAATGCCTAACACCATCTCCCAGGTTAACAAAATTCCTTACTTAGAATTTCTGGTTCGCAGACTTTTAAATAAAGTCGAAAACTTCCTCGATTTGGGATTTAAAATAAATCGGTGACTTGGGATACCAAATAATTTATTCCAAGTGGAGACTCTGATAAATTAATTAATCTCATGTCGATTTATGTCACTTTAATTGGAAAAACTCCCATATACCCTCAAAGTATAAAAAAAGAGGTGTGACAGCTCTGGCGACTCTGCTGGGGACAAGAACCCAGAACTTCTGTTTCAGGGTTCAAGAATGCGAGCTTGTTAAATGTGATTTTATTTGGCTTTATTTTCGATATTACTGTATTTGGTGGGTTTAATGTGCTAATTGCCATTTATTTACCGCTTTGATATTTCTTGAACTGTATTTAAATGTCTTCTTAAGCCTCCCTTCCGAGTCTTCTAAAAAGCGGTGCTCACGTTCGCGTGACCCACTTTTCTGTTAGAGTTATACCAAATAGAACAGGGTTGGTCAAGCAATAAGGCTAGGCAGACTTTCGTGCTCCCGGTACGTTGCCCCCTCCTCGACTCGAGTTTGTCCGCTTGGGTAAGCCAGGTTTAGAACACAACCCAACGTTTAAACTTAGAATAACATAACCTCATGCCAGATCCCCAGTAGGAACGTTTATTTGCATCACGTGCATTTGACCTTGGGGACTCAACATAGGGGTTGGGTTCGTCTAGGACAAGTGTACCCAAAATAAAAACCATCCTGATGCATCCTACATGCTATGTGAATATTTATTAGCTTGCATGTTGTCTAGTTAGGAAAAGGAAACAAAGAGAAAAACCAAGAGTGAGATAGGATAGAGAATTTACCCGGTTCTAAAAATCCCAATATTTGAAAATGTCTCGAAACTCTGCCAAAATTTTTGAAAAAAAAAGTGAAAAAAGGAAAATGTATTTCAAAAAAAAGTGTTAGTCAAATATCATATTTTTTTATGTCAAAATTGATCGAACTACGCAGGTCTGATTCTCACCGGATGTGGGATACGTAGGCAACCCACATAAGGTTCGGCCTCATCTTTTTACAAAAAAAATGATCAAGTAAAGTGTAGTTTAGGGCTTTGGTCAAAAGAATAAGTCGACCCAGCTTCGGTTGTATTTTTAAGTCGTTCTTACCGGAATAGCCTTAGATTATCTTTTAATTGTCGAAAGGCTATTTTCGGGAAGAACGAGCCAGTCTGTCTGTAAGGTGTCTTTTTCCATAAAATACTTTCCCCCGGCCTCAAAATTTATTTGGAATTGTGAAGGGGCCACATTTACAAAAACGACCATTTTTACTAAAAGTAGAATAAAAGGGGTCTTTGTCCGTTGATTTTCTTTAGAAATTGAAAACTTGTTTTGCAAAAAGAGTCCACAAGAGTCAATCCTAACCTTAACCCTCCACAGGTACAAATGAATACTGTCCAGAACCCGTCACAAATGAATACTGTCCAGAACCCGTCA